ACGTAACCCCTAAGGCCTTTGTTGAGCTCAAGTGACGCCTGAAACAGTAAAAGGGAGTTGAGGCATCACTCGAACCACTGCAGCCACCGATGCATGTGCTAAGAAAACTGGAGCGAAGCATCTACTTGTGGGAGCGAAGCATCTACTTGTGCCGGTACTATCTTGATTAAAAAATATTTTCTACACGGCGTGTTCCAGCTACCACTTGGCAAGGACGAGAGAGACATGCAGCAACCCTACTATTTTAACATATGCCAGGTGGGCCTCTAGCGATGCTGCACTGCCCCCACGCTGCGGCATTTCAAGAGTAATATCTTCTCTGTGGGGTCTAAATATTTTTAGGCATCACTCCACGCCGTTGAGGGCCAAACATATAAAAATTTGGTCATATAACTTCCTCAACTATAAACTAGTATTATACCCTTTAAAGTATCTATTACCTTTTAAATGATCCCTAAGATAGTGCTGTAGGCTATTTCGCCACTGTACCCACCATACGAGCCTGATCAAACATGGTTTCATTTAGGCCCATTTATAAGTGGCTACATTAATTTACCATATCTTTTTACCCCACATCCTACCTACTCCCCTCTACCTCCCTCATCCTTCATAGCCTATTTGGAACAAATGAATTGAAAACAGAAATAGGAAAAAACACATGAAAGGGATAGAGATGAAGTGACAAAATAGAGGATTGAAAAATTCGGGAAAGTTCTAAAATATGTGTTTGGAACGCAGAAATAGAAAACTTAGGAATCTTCATTTGGTTGGTCTAACAGTAAAAAGAAAAACATGCAACCACTCACGTCAATAGGTAAAGTATCCTGCATGCGAGCTACTATGAGTGAGACTGAGAGAGCGAATAAAAAAACATAGCTATTCATCTTCTGCATGCTAGCTGCCTCGGGCTTACGCGGCGGAGGAAGAGAAACCATGGGATCCGAGTGGATTTTTCACTTCCTTAGAAATCAGCATCCAGGTACAGTATTCCATAGGAAAGGAATCAAGACTTCCTTTGTTCCAAACGCTCATTTTGCATTACTTTCCTCCATTTCCCATTCCTATACTTTTCCTTTGAAGTTCCTTTATCCTAACGGGCCCTCAATCTTTCCATCATACCCCACCTCCTGCAAGTAGCCCGTGACCTCTTGTATCCTACTCTACCTCTCCATGCTCTTCAATGGTATCGAGCCCATGCACCGTGGATGCTCCAACACCATCCTCTCCCAAGTGCTACCTCCCTCTTGATTTGCCTTCCTATAGCTACCTCACCAATGAGTTCCCTTCCTGGACGCCTAGCCCACATCCACCTTAGCAAGCTTCCAGGCTTGCCCATCTTACAAATGGGTCCACGTTCAAGCATGGGCAATATGCCAGTGTGGTAGGCTACAATGGCAAAGAAGTCATACAGAACCCTCCTGATGTCATTTGAACATCATTAGATCCTTTAAGGGCTACAGTAACATGTCTTATAGTTGAAGGGCTTATAGTCGACCCTCAGTATGTTTAGGGGTGTGGAATTTTCATATTGTACATCCATGTCAATGTCCATGTAATATGCCACGTCGGTAAAATCACCTTCAAAACCACTCCAAGAGGTTATTTGGACCATTTTCAATACTTTAAGGGGTAAAGTACCCAGTTTTATAAGTGAAAGTTGAAGTAGATGAACGCTATTAGTTGAGGGGGTTCAATAGTTCGCTTTCCAAAGATACAATAAGCACAAGAGTTTCAACTTGACTTAAGGATAAAAATATCTATGGAAATTATAAATTCAAAACATGAAAAATCTAGAGTCATAAAGTCATAAGACATGGGTTGCAATAAGAGTCACAACTTAGCTTAAGGATAAAAATGTCTATAGAAACTAAGGTATAAGGCTTTAACTAAATGCATTTTGAAGATAAAAATGTGTTGCGCAGATGAAAAAAACTATAGATACGGATGAAAAAACATAGAGATTAGTAATTAATAAGTTTATTACAATCAGATAGAGATTACAGAGTATCTATACATGTTTAGATGTTACAAAATCAGGTTATCTAACCAAATAGTGATGTGATCTATATATATAATTCTAAAGTATATTGCATTATATATTTTTTGGAATTGCATAGTAGATTAGATTTTCACGAAGAATTGGTTAGGAGGGTAATATTTGGCATCATGGTAGTTCGTGGAGAATGATAATCCCCTAATAAAATTTTTGTAGATATGTTTCATGCATCCCTAGGGTAATCACAATATTTGGAATATTCCTAATCCTTTGTTTTAGGTTACGTTCTATAAGAACACACCATGCCATATGAAGACAGAACGATATAACCTTTACAACAAACAGTATATGTTGTTACTTAGATTTAGTGCATTGTGGTTGTTTGAGACACTCATATGGCTATGCACTATTTTGGACTGGTAATCTATATTTAATATTAAAGAGAGAAGGAATTCCTTTGTCCATCTTTTTCTACTTCCAACAATGGCTTTATGTCTCTCATTGTGTCCTGTACAACCCTAACTCATAGACCATGCTCTCGTACAAGTTATATCAACGTGCATCCAGTGATGGGATGAAGTCCAAATCTAAGAGACATTAAGAAGAATTTGATTCCAAGATGTATTGGAATAGTCGACCCGATCGTTGCTTAAATCTCATAGCAATAAAATAGTCCAGTTGACCACGCAATAAGCTGCCACGTTATATTGTAACATACCAACACATTTGCTAGTTACCGGCTTAAGTATTATACATAAATATTGTAGTAATAATATTGTTAACCATTTTTCCAAGCAAAATCTAGGATTACCTTCCAAAGTTCAATAAACATACTCAAAAAGATAATTGACCTTTGAAAGCTTAGTTGCATTGATTGTACGCATCCGAATCCATCAGTCGTCTTCAGTAACTGGATGGACAAGTAGGTTTAAGTTCGTGCGGATTCTATGGTTTTAGTAGATTGTATTCAGAGTAAATAAAATAACGACGGCAGAAAAAAAAAAGGAAGAATATAGATGCGTACCTCCTTCGTTTGGCAGCTACATGTCCGAGATTATAGACGAAACGCTGCCCTAAATTGAAGTGCGCGCGAGAGTCCGAGAGAGAGAGAGAGACGAAGAATGGAAGTAGCTTAGCTACCAATGCGCTGCTCCGTGGTGAACCTGCAAAACAGGTCGATCGGTTCCATTTCTTATGGCTGAGCTCAATGCAATACTTTGCCTTATTAGTTCGTGTTTCGGTGCTCTTTTTAAAGGCTAAAGCAAAAAAAAATTAAAGCGTGGTTCTTTTCTTGGGGCGGGATATAAAGGATAACGATGGTGGTACAGCCTTCTTCCTACTGCTAGCAAAGTGCAGTATATTGTTAGCTAGGTATATATAGCTTGACGGCGGCTCCATGTAGAAATAGAGTCCATCCAGCGTTCAACATGCAAGTTCTAACGAGTTCCGTTTGAGACAATTTGCTGAACCAAGACTGCTGCTTCAGAGATAATAACTGATGTGTTCGAGTTATCACTAAATCAGGTTCAACCATTTTGTGGGTTCAAGAATGGAAGTAGCTGTCGCTAGAGATGCAAGCGGGCTAGCTCGCAAATCCATATATGGGCTTAATTCTGTAGGTTGTTTGTGATAACCCAGAAAATTAAATCTGTATGGCCCTGTTCGCGTGCCCTTAAAGCCGGCTTGATCCGCTTCTTTTTTCATCCGGAACAGTGTTTTCCTCTCACAGATTCCTCCAGATTTCTCCAAATTCCTCCAAGCGAACGGGGCTATACGGGTTCGGGGACGAGCCCCGCTTACATCCTTTGTCTGTCAGTCAAAGCTCGTTGCAGATTTGCAACAGGCTTCCGGTGTGGCCTCCACACAACACAACCGAGCTCCATGTTGATGTAGTAGTAGCTTCGCCCCTGGCTTCGTGTTTTGGGTCCCATGTAGCTAAGTGAAAGCATGGTTCTTTGCTTGGGGTTAGACCTAATGAAAGGATATAGATTGAACTGTCGTGCCGCTAAAGTTAGGTAAAGGACTGATGGCACTAGCTTTGAATCTCTCATGCTCTCTTTGTAATTCTTTATCATGAAAGAAAGAAGGCGGGCAAACCACAGGAATTTAAGCAGACACCAGAATCAAGAGGCTTTCACCCTTTTCCTTTAATGATTCGATCTCTGCACAACGCGCGACACAAACTGCACGAAAATGTGTTTCACGTCACACCGTTACAGAATGCAATTTTGAGGGATTGGTTGGAGTAGCCCTAATCCTTCTGTCCACACAAGATTCAGAGCAAGGCCAACGCATTCGTCCAACACGGCATATAGAAAGGAAAAGGATGCATGAGTTCAGACTACGTTCAGGTAAACAGAGGGGAGGCGTACATTATTTAACAATTGTTCCAAAGAAGGCGACTTTTATCTGCTCAAAATTTGCAGAGGCATCATATTTACATTCACATGAAACAACAGTCCAATCTGGGAGTAATTGCAGCTGAATTCATCAGGGCTTATTGTTCCAAAGAAGGCGATTTTTATCTGCTCAACTCAAAGTTTGCAGACATCATATTTACATTCACATTAAACAACAGTCCGATCTGGGAGTAAAATGCAGCTGAATTCATCAGGGCTATTGCCGCAAGGCTAGTTCTCCCTTCATACATATTACAGGTACAAATAAATAATCGTACACAGGTGCAATTTTTCCCCGTTAAACAGTAATCAGCTAAACTTAATGAAGCGTGATGCAGTTCAATTAGCAGGGAAAGAATAGAATCAGCTGATACACTATGACCACATTCCTACACCATAATTGCAAGAAGGAAAAAATAAATACCAACGCAGAAGATAGGCTTTACCCACAGCAAACAGGAATTCCGCTGCCAACGACTCTATACTGTATGACCTGTCAACCCAATGATCCACATCAATTTCGGACAGTGGGTTCACGATAGACCTTACAGGGAGCTCACATCGCGACCGAATGTACAGGGAGCTCACAGGTCAAACAGTTCTGCTCAGTGCAGGTGGCCATTACCATTCTGCTTGAAGTCTGATGATCCATAAACATAGTGCCCGTTCTGCTTGGGTGCGTCGGCTGACCCATAGGCATAGTGGCCGTTCCGCTTGGGTGAGTCAGTTGAACCGTTTGTGCGGTGGCCATTCTGCTTGGAGGAGTCAGCGGATCCATTTGTTTGGTGACCATTCTGCTTGGTACAGTCAGGCAAACCATAGCCATAAGGGTTCTTGCTGGCCCAGTTCCATTGGTCGCGACACATCTCTTCAATACCGTATTTTGCTCTAGAGGAAGACAACGTTGATCATATAAAATACAATAAAGCCATTTTGTCATGATAACATATTATATCTTGTTATATGACTTACTTCCAGTTAAGCTCCCTCTCTGCTTTAGTAGTCTCTGAAAACAGAATCTCTGCATCACCAGGGCGTCTCTCACCAAAAATCAGAGGGATTTTCTACAGGGTAGCAAAAATATGTCCTTATAAATCACAACATGGGAGCATAAACGAAAGCTTATCAAGGCAGTAAACCTAAGTAGGCTGCATTGCAAAATGCTAATAATCATGCAAGGCCTAAATTTGTTTATCTTGTATACCTTCCCAGAAGCCTTCTCGAATGCTTTAACAATCTCCAGCACAGATGTACCTCTTCCGGTTCCAAGGTTGTATGCTTCACACCCTGCAAATAGTATCAAATTTTAAAACAAGATTCAAAAGCATAAACGCAACCGAATCAAGCACCTCGCACATGAGGGAAATAGAAAATATGGACAGATGCCCATGTATCCCATAAGTTTGATTTTACTGAAAAAATGCAAATTGCATAAAGTGAGCATATCTGTTATGCATGCTGTAAAAAGTATACGTATCCAAACAGTATGTATTTCTGTGCCTTGTACAAACCTACATTTTGTGTTAAACAAACCTAGGGAAACAAAATAAAATTTGTGGATCTAAAGAAAATACAACACAAAGAAGTGTTACCACATTCAAATAAGTAGAAATAGGAAGCTGAGCTAGCTCAGTTGGTCGAGGGTGTTGATGTATGCCCAAATCACCTAGGTTCAAGTCCTCATTGAGGTGAATTTGGGAGCCTATTTCTTCTTAATAAATGCCACCTAGTTCGTCCTAGGTTGGTCTAGTTTTTTTAAAGTATACATGAAATGATGGAAAGAAATTCAACAATCATTTGATGTCAAGTATTAACCTATGCTAGAGTTCTCAAAAAGCTTCTGCAATGCAGCAATATGTCCATCAGCAAGGTCAACAACATGGATGTAATCTCGGACCTGTAAAAACAACAATAGTCAGATTAAAGATAGGATGATAGTCTGATTAAAGATGGGATGATTCCATGACGCATGTGAACCACAGATGTCACAATGATATGCCTAAATATCTGATTCCAAAATCATTAACTCTAAGCAATGTAAAAATAAATTGACTGAAGTAAGAAGCACATGGGTATCATATGTTCTATTGTAAGAATATCTTCCAAATTTTCAGTCAGATGATTTGAAATGAGAAGATTTTGTAGGTTATATATTGTTCTAGAATTAAAGTTAAGCTTGTGGCTTACATAGAAAAGAAGGAAATGTCAGAGCAATCAATTAATCTTCTTCTTATAAGGGAAATACAGTACCAGAATTCCCCTACTGTGGTATATTATAGTTATAAAAAAAGTCAGATAGCAACGATACAAAGTGCAGAGGAAAAACTATAGAGAGAGATAAACAGCAAGGTGCCAAAGAAGAGAAAGAAAAAGGTGAAAACTATGCAACATAGTCAATCTATGAAAAAAGAAAGTAAATTATAGGAAGTCTTCATCTGTGTAGTTGAAGATCAACTTCAACGAGGTGGGTCAATGCACTAGGCAGCAAGTTGTATAAACACAGACCTAGTCAAGTTTTTTAACGCAGGAATGACTTTGCTCAGTTCTTAGAACTCTTGTTAGTACTTCTATACCTACCACAGATTGCTAGGTTCTAACAGAAAATGGACTACAGTTTTATTCGTAACATCCACCTTCAAATGCATCAGATTAATCAATTTGAATGGTATAAAAAACATAATTGAGCATATCATATGCAACAGAATTACCCCAGTCCCATCTCTTGTCGCATAGTCATTTCCTAAAACTGTCAGAGCTGGCCTCCTACCAACCGCAACTTGCTGAACATAGGGCATAAGATTGTTGGGAATTCCTCGTGGGTCCTCACCAAGATATCCACTAGGATGAGCACCAACTGGATTGAAGTACCTAAGTAAAATGATCTTCCATTCAGGATCTGAACGGTAGATATCACGGCAAATATCCTCAACAACGAGCTGCAACCATTTGAAAATTTTTGGTCAACTTAGAGAGCTAACAAACTTCAGCAGGTTTTCACATGGAAAAGGAGGCAGCAGACCTTTGTTTTGCCATATGGATTGTTTGGAGTCAGAGGAAAATCTTCTGTGCAAGGTGAGTTTTTGGGTGATCCATAAACTGCAGCTGATGATGAGAACACCAACTAAAACATTTTAAAACAAAAGCAGATATAACATGTCAGTGCCAGTCTGGTATGACAAATCGATTTGCCAATCCAAAGCATTACTAATCAAACGTATCTTAAAGCAAAAATGCAAACAATTGTACAGTTAATACAATTAATCAATAGCATTAAATTAAAAGGGGAAGCAGATATTCCCTAGGCATATACAACAATATTGACACCATTGAATATGATCAATCAAAGCAAAAACTGTGCCCAGGGGTTCCCGTGTCCTGGACATCTTAACCGCCCAACTAGTATCAAAGCAGACAGAAGGAAACTGATAAAACGGAGAAGTCTTCTTCACCACCCACACCGCTGCCAGTTTCCTTGCAACCAAAACCCAAGCGCCAGCCATAGCCCCGCTCTCCCGTGTCCTCGACTGCCCCTCCCTGTCCACCGCCCTCCAACATGGCCAGCGTTAACCACCCCGACCACGATATTTCCACCTCCATCCTGGCCGAACTGACATCCATCACCACCATGGCGGTGAGTGCCCCTGCCACCTCGCCGTCCTGCCCACCATCCGCCACCACCTCCGGGTGCATGACCTCCACAACCATCCCTCTACAACCAGAGGCCACCAAAATCCCCAAACCCCTAACTTCCATCCAACACTACCACTGTGATCAGTGCCCCTGCCACCTCACCAGCCCACACCATCCACCACCGCCGGGTGCACAACCTCCCAAACCATACCTCTAGAACCAGTGGCCACCAAAATCACGGGGACATGGAGGTGGCTGTCTGGGTGGATGAGGATGCGGTCACGGTCATGTGTCAAAGACTCAAGAGGGAGGCAGAGCAAAAGGTGAGGCGAGGAGGAAGGACGGCGTTAGATGGTGCAAGTAGGGTGACTATTAATTGACTACATTCCACATCCAGTGATCAATTTACCAAGTAGATTAATAACAACAAGCAAACTTTAGCAGCTAGAATGCCAAGAGATTTTATTGCACAACAGGGAGTAACCAGAAGAGTGAAATGCACCACGGGTCCAAACTTTTTCCACATTCTCATCTAGGTCCATGAACTCTCAAATTGTTCAAATGGGTCCTTCAACTTTTCAAGTGGTTCATTCAAAGTTCACTCTGGGTCCAATCATGGACATGAATTTACACTTTGAACGAACCACTAGAAAAGTTGGAGGACCTATACGATCACTTTGAGAGTTCATGGACCCAGATGGTAATATGGGGAAAGTTTAGTGACCCATTGTGCATTTCATTCTAACCAGAACAATCCTGTCTATGTTCACCTTGAATAAATGCCCAATGAGTCCAAAGAAATGCCCACACTGCCATCTATCCACCATGCATTCAGAGTAACTACAGTTAACCAGAACACAGATGACATTGACACCTCAGTAATAACATGAGCTACTAAGATGCATTAGCAACTGAAAGCTTCCACACAATGGAAATATGTAATACCTAACGTGAAGATCACTGAAGGGCGGGCCTGGTGCAAGCGGTAGAGTCTTACCGCCTGTGACCGGAAGGTCCCGGGTTCAAGTCGCGGTCTCCTCGCATTGCACAGGCGAGGGTAAGGCTTGCCACTGACACCCTTCCCCAGACCCCGCACAGAGCAGAAGCTCTCTGCACTGGGTACGCCCTTTTCTTTTCTTTTTTAACGTGAAGATCACTAACCATTAAAACAACGATAGCCCAACCATAGCATGTGAAGATCACTTATACAAGCTCAAGTAGTTAATTCTTCAATGCACAGGGTGCAACAGAATTAAAACACAAGTCAACAAAATAACATAATAAGCAATCCTATAGTTAAATCAAAGTAATAACCTAGCATACAACTGCAGACAAATTCGGAAAAAAGATATAGTAGCAACTTGAAGTGCTGACTCCAGTGGAAGTATAGTGGGAAAAAAGAGAGATACCTTCTTGCAACCGTGAGCAGACATAACTTCTAGAAGATTTATCGTGCCAATGACGTTGTTGTCATAATAAAGTAATGGCTTCTGTACACTTTCGCCTACAGCTTTCAATCCAGCAAAGTGGACGACAGCATCAAATCTGAAGGGCAAATTGTCTAACAATAAAGAAGATGCTAGATGCAAATTTGCAAAAACGAAAAGGAATTCATAATGATGTGAAAATTGAACAGAGCCAGTACAGCAGAATAGCCAGTGATTCTACCTTGTAGAAGCAAAAACCATTTCCAGTGCTCCCTTGTCACGGAGATCAATCTGCAGAATCAAATAAGGTAGTAATGTTAGAGTTCGAATATTTATGTAGTAAAATGTTAAGACACTATATGCCATCTTGTAACAAGTGAACAACAGAGGAGGGTACGTTCTGCCTGCATGAAAAATCAATCAAAGCAGACAAATACTTGAGCAGTAACTACACTGCATCAGAGCTGAAACGAAGTGGCAAATGCGTCAAAAAGCAATGTATTCCTGACCCTTACTCATTATTAGGTTAATAGTTAACAACAGGGGTGCTCATGTGAATTTCTAAAGTAAGCAAGCATACTTTACTATGAACAGGCATGGACACCCTAGCTTTAACAAACACAGTATGTTGCTCAGGATGAAGATGAAAATGTTGCTCATCCTTCAAGCAATCCAGGCTCTATTTCAAATGAAAATTTTGCAGAGCTGCAAAATCTATTTTACTAAATCACACAATGCACCATAAAATACTCACTTTGCAAACCGCTGTAATAGAAACGTATTAAAGACTAGGAACATCAAAATAAAATAGAAATGCACACATCACATCCAATAGTAACTGTGTGAATATGGGGAATGGCACAAGGAAGTTATAGATATGGAAACTGTTTCCGTACATCAAAAAGGAAGTTTTAGATCTTAAAGTAAAAGCACCTCAAAGTAATAAGGAACAAATCTCTACTAGTGACACTTAGTTCGAACTTAAACTATTCTTGTTCCTTGTTTACAATAGGTTGGTTGCTAAAGTTAGACCAGATCCTCAGCAAGCATGAGATAATTTAATGTGTAATTTAATGTGTGTTTAACATGAACAGATCCTCCAAATAAATTGTAACATATTCGAATAACTAAAATCTCACTTGCGCCCCTCTTTATAGTTGTTTAAGTCCGAATTGTTGTGTTGACGAACACAGCACACAACCTCCTAGCAAATTTTACTTATTTAGATTTCTAATAATAGGTAGGCAAACCCTTGTCCATAACCAGCAGTACACGAATAGCCAAGAAACATAATCACATACTGTCACTTAGTGCAGACATAAGTCAATTTTTTTTGTTAAAAGTGAATTGGCTAAACTGTGTTACACAAATGTCCCCCCCAAAAAAGTATTACTGGATTTTTTTTTTGAATCAATAATATTATAGGTAACAACTGGAAAGAGTAGCTTTTAGGGAAACAGCATAGTTTCATCTTTTAAGAAAAGAGAAACCGGTAGTAAAAGACTAGCTGTCCTCTTGTTTAAATTAGCCAACAACTCCCACAGTCCCATCGTGGGTGGATCAACCACAACCCACCCCCAAACTAATGCCAATTGTACAAACCTAACAATGCAAGCAAGGATCAATTGAATGAGCTGGCCAAATAATTCAAAGCTACTAACATGCAATGCTGCCAACTGGATATTAGCAGAGCTGAATCATTAGTCTTCAACCACCCTCTGCACTTAACTGCAAACTATGACAGATGGAGCTAAAGCTACTTAAATAGAACGCCAAGAAAACAGATCTGAGCATCCTATGGCTTACAAGTAACAGACCACGGACGCTCACATTCGAGTGATGGATTTTACAGCACAAAAGCCTTTGAGTAGAAATCTCACCATTATGGTCTCACAAAATCAGGCAATCAGGCAACACCAAGTTATGAAAATCCTTTCTATTAATCATCATTTTTAGTTTCCATTAAATTCTCATTAACCATCATCAACAATTGGCAATCTCTAAGACAAGGTAAATTGGAAGCATTGCTTCCTACTTGTAGTAAATAAGTTGGAAAAAAAAACTCAGAATGCAGAATCAAATTGTGAAATCTCCAAACAAAACAACCAAAGCATAGTTTGGGGAAAACGATACTACAATGCAGCACTAAATGAAATTCCAATCATAGGTAATCCATGTGAACCAAATTCTGTTTAATTACACGAAATGTGACAGTGTCGCAATTGATTCCCCAAAAATAACCATAGCAGTGAGTAGCTAACTTGAAACACCAAAAGCCAAAGGGAATCAGATTGTGGCATACCGACACGACACAAAAAGCAGCACAAGAGACGCCCTACCAAATCAGGACCTCAGCATTGTTGCAGCTATAATCTGGCAGTGAAATAATATAATCCCGAAAAGGAAAAATACGGGGGGACCGCATCCCCTGCGGCGCAGCCAATTTAGGCCCACGACGACACCGCGGAGATCTACGGGGGACGGGCGTCACATGGCGCCTCGTCGTCACCTTGTGGAAGGATAGGTTGCGTGAGTGGTCCCCCGCGAGCGCGGCGACGCGTCGGACGGCGAGCTCGGAGGAGTTGTTGAGGTTGTCGACGACGACGGCGCGGAAGCCCGCGAGGAGGAGCTGCAGCACGGCGTGGGTGCCGATGTAGCCCGCCCCGCCCGTGACCAGCACGGTCCTCCCCGCATTCGCGCCGGGCAGCGTCTTCTCCACCGCCATGGCAAGCTGCTGCTGCTGCTACCTCTCCCCGCCCGCCGAAGCTACCTACGCACGCCGGCACCGCCCTCCGCCTCCTCGACCAGAGCGCGAGCCGAGGGAAGAGGAGAGGAGGCCCTCGGCGCGCGGATCTGGCCGGAAGCCTGGAGGCGGAAAGGCGTGGAAGCTTCGGACTGGTGGGGAGTGGAAGCGAAGAAGTTGAATTGAAAGGGAGGGTGGCCGGCGACGCATCGGGGGAGGGGGAGGGGGAGCGACCCAGTTTATACTATGCGCTGCGCGCTTGAGTTGCGTGCAGCTGGGGCGGCGACGGAGCGGGGGGGCCGCGCGGCAGCGGGTGCGGCCGGACGACAGGTTGTCGGTCGTGCCCTGGTGCGGCTTTGGTGGCCGGGCACCACTCGCGGGTCGCGCTCCGCGTTGCTGGAATAGGGCTGAGGCCTGAGGCTCGCCTCGCCTCTGCGGGTCTGTAGCCTGTACGTACGGAGTAGGGCTGAGGCTGGAGAGTGCTGGACTCGACTTGGCAGTCTGGACACTATATCACGTTTCGTTTGTATTTGATAAACTTTGTTTGATTATAAATTAACTAGGCTCAAAAAATTTGTTTTGTGATTTACAACTAAACTATGTAATTAGTTTTTTTTTTACCTACATTTAATGCTCTATACATGCGTCTAAAAATTAATGTGATGAAAAGAGTAAAAAAACTTGAAATTTTGAGACAATCTAAACAAACCCTTGGCACCGGATGTTTTGCTTCGAGACGGGGCTGCGGACCGCATTCTGCCGTGCGCGCCCTACAACGAACGGCATGGGTGCCAAGCATGGAAGCTCGTGTGATTAGTACGTATATAGGTTATAGGGGCGACTTCCCAGCCATGGAATTGATTTGATTAGTATATTTAGGAAGAAGATGCTAAGGACCTGTTTAGTTTTCATAAGTCAGATGACTTTAGTTTTCATAAGTCAGATGACTTATTTAGTTAGGTGATTGAAAACCAGTGAATTATAAGATATATTTGTTTAGTTGTAGATAATTTATAAGCTCATTAAATATGTGAGCTCCACGTAAAAATGATGACTTATAAGTTTTAAGCAGGGGTGAATCAACTTAAAACTTATAAGCAGTGATGACTTATAAGTTAGTGTTGTTTGGCAAAATAAGTCATTTTTTCACTTTTTAACTTATAAATAGGTGAATTGTTTGAAACAAGCATGCCCTGAAGCACGTTCCAGTGCTGCAAGACGCGGCTGCTTCTCCTTCCTAGCTCGCACGCCAAACTATACGCAAGCCGAAAGGAGAAGGAGCGACTCCTCACAGTGTTGTAATTTGGTTCACCGAATGGTCTTCAACTTCCAACTCAAGAGATGGCTACGCGTGGTCGTGGAACGTCGGTGTGGGTGAAAAAGATTTGATGGCTACCTAGATGCCCCCTCAACCCTCATGCAAACTAAACATCTTGTTCGTTTGAATTTATTAGCATAACTTTATAACTAAGGAATAGCGTTTTTCTCTCGTAACTTTTCAGCAGCAACCGAATTTTAGCGAGCCAAACTGGGGCTTTATTACTTCAACAACTATGTCCCAGCGAGTCATCTTTTGCGGTAATTAATATACTAATAAATACTCCTATATGCCAAACAAAACAAGAGGATGAAGCTGTGCTGCCATGCGTCTTCCCAATCGGTGTCACCTGCATGCGTGCTGCCTGCAGACACGATAGACGTTTGTTGCTTCTATTCACATGGTGGGGGACAAAGACAAATGCACCCAAAACATGAATGATTGAGCCTCTCCTATAGTCCCCCATTGAACAGCGGTGACAATCCATCCATGCCATTTCGCATTTGATTGACATGCATGCACGCACACACCTTCCAAAGAATATCCCAAAAGAATATTTCCTACATTTCTTTTCCCTTCTATAAATAGGCCTTGTTTAGTCTATCCTCCTAAAATTTAGTCCTTATCACGTCGGATGCTTGACACATACATAGAGTATTAAATATATATAAAAATAACTAATCGCACAGATTGCGACTACTTTGCGAGACGGAATTTTTTAAGTCTAATTAGTCCATGATTTGACAATGTGGTACTACAGTAAAGATGCAGTAAACATGCGCTGATGACGGGTTAATTAGGCTTAGTAAATTCGTCTCGCGGAGTACCGGGGACTTCTGTAATTTATTTTATTATTACTATTCGAATACTCTAATGTGACATCTCGATATGACACCTAACGTGACAGCTTAAACTTTAGCCCTTGACAGTCAAGTGGCCAAGAGGTCTCAAGGCTTTGGAAGCACTAAACCAAAAAACGCCAAGCTAAAACCGCTCACATGTCGGGAGTGTTCGGCTGGCCGTTTCTGGCTGGCTGGCTCCTCTTTTTTTTTAGCTGGAACAGTGTTTTTCTCCCACTATTTTTTAGCTGCTACAGCGAAAACCAGCTGCTACAGTGTCCAATTAATGCCAGCCGAACACTCTCGTCGACTGGGACTTCAGCTGGATTTGGAGTGGGCAGCCTGTCACACCTCACCATCCTTGTCTGGACTCTGGGAGGAGCGCTCTCCTGACCGTTTCCCCTGCTCTGCTTGCGTTTCGTTCTCCAATCCCCATGCTTCTGTCGCTGTTGCAATTGCCAATTGCAAGCCGGCCAACTCTGGCCACAGGCAACGTCCAAAGTCCAAGCCACATGGCACCTGGAAAATGTTATAGAATAGATTATGGCCTTATTTAGATTGGGATTAGGAATCAGTATCTGACACTGTAGCACTTTCGTTTGTATTTGATAATTATTGTTCAATCATGGCCTAACTAGACTCAAAAGATTCGTCTCGTAATTTACAATCAAACTATGTAATTAGTTATTTTTTATCTACATTTAATATTTCATGTATGTGTTCAAAGATTTGATGTGATGGAGAGGGAGTGAAAAAACTTACAATCTAAAACAAGACCTGGGTAGTCTTTGTATTTGTTTAGCATTCCGTTTAAGGTTTGATATAATCATGGGGATCGGTGAGGCTTCTGGCATTCACACAAACCGAGGATCAGTATCATGTGGCCTCGAATTCCAATGCTACCTCTTGGCAGAAGAATCCAACGAGCGAAGCTTCCACAAGTCGTCCTGATTCTGATGCCTCCCGTTTTCAATAGCACCGTGGTTAGACTGTCTCCGACCACGATCCAAAATACACACTCATTTGTCTTTTGACAAAGGGTTTAATGTCTATTTTTTTTTCTTCTTCAACAATAAGACTTAAAAGACAACTATTTCTACAAATGGGTCTCTAGGAGAGAGGATACTCAAATTTAGGTTATGCCTTTCCTGACACCTAAAATAATCTTCCATATAGATAGTCTGTTGGAGACTATATGTATTGTGTTGGAGACTCATTTTAAATTTGGGTTCCACAATGGGTCTTGGAGACAGCCTTAGGTTATGGTTGAGACTTGAGAGGGATAAACGTAAGGAAAAAGTCCGTTTTTTGCCCTCCAACTATGGCAGCAGTTTGGTTTTAGCCCTCCAACTCGAAAACCAGACACCCGCAGTCCCTTAACTCTCAAAGCCGTTTAAAATTGGCCCTCACGCCCATTCGACCATGCATATCCGCACACAAGAACCCGCCACGACCTGCGCGGTCAGCCTTTTCTCTCTCCGCCAAGTTGGGACCACTGTCATCCCTCCTCTCTCTTCATGCCTCACTGTTTGTCAGCCTTTCCCAGCCTCCCGCCACACGTCGTTGCCACCACCGGCCGGCCAAAGACAGACAGCGCTAGCCATAGCTATCATTACTCATATGGCTTCATTGCTGCTGCATGCATGGCCGCACCACCACTGCCTGCATGCTTCGCAAGCTGGCACATGCGTGGTGCCTTTCGCTTTCATTGCGCCAGCAGAGAGAGAGGAAGGAAGAAGAAGAGGGAGCAGAGGAGGCGGCAAAGGCAGATGGAAGAGGGCGCAGCGAAACAGAGGAAGGGGAGGGAGATGGCCGGTGATTTCTCGCCGTCGGCGAAGAATCCGGCGAAACCGAGGGCACCGGCGTGCTCCTCGCGACGAGCCGCACCTAAAGGTGCCTAGGGTTTAACCCCTACCGACCTCTAACTAGGGCGGCGGGGTGCATGGCGAATGGCGACGAGGGCCCGACGACACTCTAGCGAAATCCGACCATGGCAGGCGCAGCTAAGCTCGGTACGAGATTCTAGGGTTCGCGGGGAAGACGAGGGAAGGAAGAGAAGGGAGTGAGAGAGTTCCGATGATAGCCGGCCACGGGAAGCTCGAAGTCCGGCGAGCCCCAGTCATGGCGGGCGATGGCGGAAGTGGCCAATAGGCCCTCACCTAGGCTCGATCGACGTTGTGGGTGGGTGGAGATGGTGGCGCGAAGCAAGGCAGAACTACTAGCGTGCTAGCTCAGGCAATGGCGCGGTTGCGGTGGCGCACGAGCTCGGCGGAGCTCCTCGGCGTCGCTGCAGCTCGGTTTCTCCACGGCGAGCGCGAACGCGAGCAGGGCGAGGCAATGCGGGTGAGAGAGAGGACACAGGCGCAACGCGGCGGTCATGCTACTCCTCTCGGCCTGACGTGTGGAGCCCGCACCGGCGTACGGCCATCAGAGCTCCATTAGGCCCACCTGAACCGGCCATCAGAGCTCCATTAGGCCCCTACGCCACTCCCCGGCACACGCACCCGCACGCGTGAGCGCGCAACCATATAGGGCGGGAGCAGCCAAGGACGCGGCCATGGCGACGGGAGTTGCAGAGGCGGCGGCCGCACACGCACTTGCACAGTTGGCTATAGCGGAGGCGGCCTTGGCATCGGCGGCGAGCCGGCGAACAGCGTGCGGAGACCGGACGTACAAGAAGACACCAGCGAGCAGCGCGAGGAAGAACGCCCCAACAGCGGCAGCGACGACAGCCTGAAGGTGTCCAGTGGTGGGGCTCCTGCGCCTTCCATGGCAAAGCTCCACCAGGGCGTGGTCACAGCGCGCGGCGATGAGCGAACACCACG